GCACTAGACCACATTTCTCCATCACACGAAGAGTAAGTGGCCTCCCCCATATGTTGTTGTACAACGGGAGTTCAAATGAGCCCACATCACCAAGCCTCAGGTAATGCGTGGTTGCTTCCATGACTTGTTCCCATGTCTGCTGTTCTTCGGAAGACAGTTTCTCAGTTTCTCGAAAGCGCTGCACCGGTGAACCTGTCTTACATGGTGTGGATACGTGCACATGAATCCAAAACCCTTGGCTCCTTTTCATCTTTACCAAGTGGGCAACCCTCTGTTTGATTCCTTTTGTTTCCATGTTAGCCGTGATACCAACATACATAATGTTCGATCGCTCACAGGCCAACCTCAAGTTGGAATTCTCAGTGCAACACACCTCAACCATCAAGTAGCCTGGGTTGTTTGAACCTGATGCCTGATTGCTTACATGAAACGCTTCAGCCAACAACCACAGCTCATTCAATGGCATGTCCGCTTGCATGAATCCCAACACCGCTCGATGTCGAAGGAAATCACGTGTTCCGAGACACTTGGTGAAAAGATCTGCCACATTCTGCGTTCCCGCTCGATGTCGAAGTTGCACCTCATTGGAACTAACACGTTCCTTCAACCATGTCAACTTGATATCAATGTGCCGGGAACGACGTGGAAGATCAACAGCACCAATCAACTGCAACGCTGAGCTGGAATCTGATTCCAATACAATGTCCACCTGTTCCTTCTCCTCAATCTCTCCCAAGCCGAAGAGAACGCGATGCACAAAATGGGAGAAGGCAACTGCCTCCTGTGTGAGATGCTGAATAGCATATAGCTCAGCCTCACAAGACGATAGCGAAGTGGCCTGCTGTTGCTTTGCCAGAGATCGAATCAAGCCTGCCTCGACCATAATGACCCCTCCAGTGATGCCTTTTCGCTGGTTGAATTCATAGGGGGCATGTGATGCGTCTGAAAAGGTGTGTAAGAACGTCACCATGCCATCATGGTCTGTGAGTCTCACTCCCTCATACTCTGGAGATGGAAGACGAAGGACTGTGTTTCGATCTGTGAACAAATACCTCAATACTGCCCTAATGGCCGCTTCTGTGCTTTGTGTTGGGGCTGACTGCTGTGTACCAATTAGTGATAGCCATAACTTGAGGTCTGCTCTACTCTGGGCTAACCAAATGAGGCGACCGAGTCCCCGACGAAACCGGGAGTACGCTTCCGACGACAATGGTGTTTTCGATGATGCATCCTTCTTTTCCATCAGGCCTGCTATGTTAGGCACAGCACTCGATCCTTGTGTGATTCCAAATTCTTTGAAAGTAGGGTTGAGATACTCTGGATCTACTGCTACAAAGATCGCCTTCTCCTGGGGCCTTCGATAAAGATGTCTCCCAATGAATGACACCTTTCCGCCTCCTTCATCTGACGGAAGAATCTGTCCAGTCACCTTGGTTGGTACAACTGCCGAAATGGCACTGATCACGCGCCTTTCCGCCTGTTCTGTAGAGGTGCACAACAGAATGTCATCCACGTACACCATAAGCATGCCGACACCCAGCACCTGAGAGTCTTCACCAAAGATTTCTCCCTGGTAAATACAGGGCTCAAGTTCGTCTGACCACAATCCTTGACTTTTGACAGTCTCACTCAAAAGATTCAACCACCTCAGGCTCGCATCTCTCAACCCGTTGAGCGCTCGATCTAAGTGGAGATACGCCACACTGCCATCAACCAAGCTCACAGACAGCGGAAGTCTCAATAAGATTGTCTCGGAGCTCGGAAGGGGAGAGTGCATGAAGGCGTGACTGATATCTAAGGTCTTCACTCGAAAATCCCTACTAGCGCTCAAGGAAAGGAGAAGAAACAACCCTTCTACACTGGGAGTGGGTGAGCTGTATCCCATGGCCCTAGCCGTCGTCCCCCTTTTAATATCCTTTGCCACAATCCGTGTCCTGACTTTGACTGGGGATTTCTTAGCGCATACCCATCTACTAGGTATTACTCTTGTGTTTTTGTTCAGTCTCTTCAAATCGTTCATTTGTTGTTCACTCAAGAGTTTCCCCGCCTTGCACTTCTCCAAATTGCCAATTTCCTCCAACATGCCCTCAAAACCCAACTTAGGTTCTAAGGCCTCCAACGTGCTGTCATCAATGACATGATCAGGGCACCAAATCAAAACCTTGCCTCCCCCAAGAGTGAGTTGCTTGGACACATGTTCCTTTCCATGATCAAATTGTATGGCACTGATCTCATCCAGAACTAGTGTTGGTGACGTCATTTGAACCCTAAAATCCAAAGATTCTAGTGATTCACCGGAGTCAAAACAAAACAAGTTCAAGGAAGACAAGATTGAGACTGTTTCCACAGCTTCAGTATTCGCCCTGGTCGTTTCTTCCAAATCTTGCACTGCCGTCTCAGCAGCTCTTTTGAACTGTCTGGTGTATTCGGCCTCCAATGGTACCGGAAGATTCTGGAGATTTTCCTGTGCATCAAAGGCTGCCCTGCGACGACGACACTGCGCTGAATGCCTGATTCCAGGCGCAACCATTCCTGTATCGCAAGCGGGACAAAAACGAGTCGGTTGAAACACCCTGGGTTGTGGTTCACCAGCAAGTTGGCTAGGAGGTGTTTGTCGCACAGCCGACTCTGACTCTGGAACAAAAGGAGGTTCTTCTATTCTAGGTACTTTTGGTTGACTGGCCTCAAACGCTTCTTGCTGATGCATGCGCTTTCTCTCTTGAGGCACGGGCACACCCTCAGGTCCTGGCAATGGCAATCGTGGTTCCTGTTCCATACCTTGCGGACGGGAAGCTGAACTAGCTGCATGCTCGGCCTGCGGGGGATCGGCCAGCGCTCCTCTCGACACATGAACATCCTCAACCTCAATCGGGTGACCACTCATGGTGATAAACCCTGCTCCCATCTCTGCATCCCACTTCAATGGGAGAATTGGTCTCACATTTCTAGCAACAAATTGATGCAAAACAAGCTGGCCTTCAAACCGCACAAACCCTTGAACCTTGGGACCATGATCAAGTCCTGCGTGCAAATACGCCGCTTCGATGCTCCGAGTTTCGTTTGGAGCGCGGAAACGAACTGCATCTGGCAACTCAGCCAACACTGTAGCACCATACAAAGTTGATGTGGGTTTGCTAAGTCGCCTGCCGCACACAGTCTCCAGCGGTGAAAAGTCTGAACTAGGGGTCTTGCCGAAATGATTGTGAACTAAGGCCAAATACGTCAATGCTTCTGCCACACTGTTTGGTGTAAAGTTCAAATCGGCTCCAGACTTATTCAAGTCGGCTCTCAAAACACCCAAGCTCTCCTTAAGTCTGCGAACGGCACGTTCCGCTGCACCCACACTCCGGTGCTGCTGTGGATTTGCCTTTCTCACTAGGAACGAAATCCTCTCTGAGCAATCTGAAATGAGATCTCCCACTGCCTGTTCCGCGTCAGTGTGTAAAACCACTGACGTGGCCCCTGATGTCGACGCCAATCCAAACAGCTCCAGCCATTTGGAAATCCTCTTCTTGACCGCCTTGAGGTCACTTGTGACAACGATGTATCCAACTGCATTCGACACCAGTTCTGTGAGAACTAGAATTTTGATATTTCCCAAGCCTTGGTCATCTTCCAAAATCTCACCCTGGCTTTTCAAATAACAAAAATCAGCTTGTATCTCACACTGTAACCCTTCCTCTGATCGTCGCCTGTGGGAGAAAACACTTCGTCCTCGCGCACACTCAACGCAACCTGGGTGAAAAGGTGTGTGTCCTTGCGCACGGTGTTGCTCAAGTTCACGCGCTGCTGCTCGTGACAACGGGTAGACAGGAAGTTCATAACCCTTCTCAGAAGCGGTCACCTCAGGCACACCTGCAATAGTAGACAACGACAATTGCTGTGATCCTGACACCTCGGCCTCATCAGTGTTGCGATCTAGAGTTTCTACAGGGTGGAGTCGAACCCAAGGGCAACCTGCAAAGTATGCCACCTCGCCTAGACGCTGACCAGTCGCGCTGTGTGTGACCTGGAAACCTTCATTGCTTTGTGAAAACTTCCAACCTCCAGCGCATAGCCTTGTGGTGGACAGGATGTTGTGCCTAATGTTTCCTACAAGAGCACGCAACGTTGCCTTCTTCCATGCGCACCCTTCCACATTTGAGTCTGAAGACCTGGAATCATTACGCAACATCATCCAAACAGATACGGATGCCTCGCCTTGCATGTGCACCTGACTTCCATTCGCAGCCCTGTAGCGATCACCATCTACTGCTGCCTGAACATCATGCACCATGTACACATGTTTGCATGCGCTGCTCATGACCGTGGCACTCGCACCTGAATCTAATAACCACCAAGTGTTATCATCTGTCACCATTTCAGACAAGAGGGGCATTAAAACTGGTACCCACTTCACAGACTGAGCTGCAACTGACAACGTTTGTTTCGTCTCGTTCAAAAAAGTTGAAACACACGGCAAAAGAAGTCGAATTCGGAGAGGTTCAAGTGCACACAACTCTTGACTCGTCTCGTTTGCATAAACAACCCGTTTGTCGTCTCTCAAACCACACTGCACATACGAAGCATGACATGACTGTGGAATGCCCGATATTTGTTCGCTTGGAAAACTGACAGGACACCCATCCAAAAAGACCCCGTCCAAACGTCGACGTTTGGACCCCCCCTCTTTTGCGGGGGAAGGGAAGTCAGACAGAGCCGGAAGAGCATGACATGAGTGTGCATCTCCATGCGTCTTTTCGATTGTCGTTTCTCCTGCACTCTTCCCTAAGCCCTTTGCCAAAGGTCCGGACAAATCTGGACACTTCGAAGGCTCTGTCGCAGTCTCTGCGTCGTGCTCCGGTGGTTCCAATTCCAAACAAGGCCGCATTGACACAAAATCACAAAGGACAAAAACTGGTGAAAGAATCAAACTTCCAAGTGCATTTCCTTCTGACTTCACAGCATCCGTGCGATACTGAGTTTCTGAACCAAGCTCTCCGCCTGTGCCGTAGCCATCTTGACTGGTCTCAACCCAGCCAGAATGCCAATCCTCCTGCACGTGCCATGCCGCGTCACTCCAAGTCGCGGCTACCGGGGATCCATCTCCCCACCAAGACTCCTCACTGTCCCACCACAGATCTTCTGCGGTCCACTCAATTTCATTCAGTTTTCCTTTCTTTCCACCTTTACCTTTGCCTGCTTGGTTTCCGTTTCCAAATTTTCCTTTCTTGAACATGTCCTGTTTTACCCAAGAACTCTTTCGTCCGTCCAAACCTTTTGAGCCTTTGCCTTGACCCTTTCCTTTTGGTCCTGCAAAGCGAGATTGCGGGCAATTCATCGAGACATGTCCTGTCTGGTTGCATCGGAAACACTTGATTTTGGTCAAATCAACACTACATTCATGAGTCTGATGTTTCTTACTCCCACATTTTCCACACTTTTGTGCGGAACCCTGCAACTCATCAACAAACCAATTTTCGTCATTTTCACTCAAATCAAACCATTCTACTCCTTGTGGTTGTTGCTGCTCCTCCTTGTGGTGTGTCACCTGAGATACCTTTTTGCCTCCTAAAGGGACCAAATCCGTAAACATCCTTTGCTGCTGTTCCCATCTACATGCTGCACTTCGGTATGCTTGGTAGCTTTCTCCTTCTGCATGGTGCAAAACATAGTTGCGCACGGTTTCTGGCAAACTGCGCACCAACACCATGAGCAAATCAGCTTCTGACACCTGTAGCCCTACAGCATCAACCGTCGACGGGAGTGTACTCAACAATCGCTGATATCTAGCAGCTTCAAGTTCGATACGTCGTACGGTATCACTCACGAGCGACGAAGGAGATGTTTCTTGAGCCGTGAGAACAAAACTTTTGGATGCCAACGCAGTTCGAAAAACAAGTGCTTCATTGCGTGTCCTCAAGGAGTATTCCTGCGTAAGCTGACACAGAAGCTCATATCCGTTCGCACTGGTTCCTGCACTACCGTCAGAGGTCATGGCCTGAATGTCCACTCCTTCCATGAAAGCATGGATCAACGTGGCACTCCTGGGATGGCCCATGAACGTGGATCTCAAAATAGCCAACAAACGCATACTACGACTTCTCATCACCAACGTCATTGATGACCAACGGATTGGCGTGCTCCACCTAGACGCTTGCAGAATCTCAGTCCCAAACTGCAAAGATGCTTGGGACGCCCATGCTGACAAATCCGCCACATACTGCGCCCAATTGAGCACTTCACTTTCACGATCACGCCACTTCTCAAAGGATGGCTGAGGTGGATTTCCAATCCACTTGTCCGTCCGTGAAAATGGATCATTCTGGTTCCAACCACTGTCACTACCTGCACCATCAGCTTGCTGCCGTGCACTCTGCGCTTCCACTGGCAACGGCAAACCTGCCGCCAACAAGTCAGGCATGAACGGTTCTGCTGGCGCACTCCGTACTTGTCCAAACAAATCTGGTTGTGCATGAGTCCTTCTCCGAACTTGTTCTTGAAAGTATTGAGCTAAGGATAGGACCTGTGCACCAGACATACCCTCTGCTAAACGTACAACGTCTTGCACTCCAACCGGATTCACACCTAAACAGGGAAACAAAGAGCCACAACCTTGTCCTGCCTGACCTACAAAACCACTGCTACATCCAGGTCCTGGTGTGCAACTGCCACAGCAACCGTATCCTCCACAATTCCCAACTGAGATTCTAGGATCGCCACTTGCTAAGTTGGGCACTTGGCTAGGGAACTGACCCAGTCCTGGCGCAAAACCACTCAGGTTCGGACCACTAGGGTTCTGACTGCTAAGATTCTGACCAGCTAAGTTCGAGTGACCCCATCCTAATCCTGCTCCTGGCATGTTCGGCATGTGTGGTGCGTTGGGTGTCACACGACCTCTACCCTGCGAACCATTCACGCTACCTGGCGTACTCTGATTAGGCGTACTCGGGATCCGTGGTGGTACTTCTGACATTCCGCCTTGCTCTAACAAGTGCGTGGGACTACTCGGGACGTTGCCTACTGCTGCTTGCGCGCCTGATTGCTGCATTACGCCCTGGAACACAAGACGCTACGTCTGGCGACCTTCGGAGCCCAGTGCTCCGCTACCATGCGAAGCTACGTGTACTGGGGAGGCCCTCTGTGGCGGGGCCGGTTTTTGCTAGGGTTTTTGGACCCCAAACTGGTGTCCAGAAAAATCACTTTTTTCGATCCCTTGAAGGAGCAAAAAGTTTGGAAAACCTGTGAGGGTTGAGAATTGCTGGGGAGAAAGCGTTTGGCCTGTATGATGTTCTTGATCGAAAGCAATCAAGCTTCCGGATCAATGGTCAGCTGCTTTTTTCGGCAGTCTGATTGCAGCCTTGCACGCTTGGTGCATGTTTGTTTGCTACAAAGCTTGTGGTGGACATCCGCCGTGAGTCGACCTAGCGCCCTGAGACCAAACGTTGTGAACCCATTCTTCGTATTTTGCGGTCTGTCTTAACTTTGGATGAGAGGAAAGAAGGGTGGGGCGATGTTAAGCGAAGGTTTGGCGCCGTGGAGCCTGTCATGTTTGCGTATGGTTACAGGTTTTGTTTTCCAGGGAATATGCGCGTGTGTGGCCATTGGGCCGGAGATTGGTGTTCACCGTGTATTGGCACAGGTTTTGACACGTTAACTTTCCAATCGCCCAGAACATTTTTTGGCACCGTGAATCTTGCTACCTTTGCTGTTCCCAGAAGCTTTGTCGCACAGTAAAGACTGAATCT